TCTATACACATGTACACGTTTCGTAAATGATACAAATCGTACGTACTTTTCTTTTCATCCGCAAGATCATCAAATCGTTAAGTTAAAAATTGAGCCCATTAAATTCGGTGTATATATATATATAATACTTCTTACATCATATTGAAAAAAATATGGTACCTGATTATATAATAATTAAAAGAAAAAGAAAAAAAGAATTTCAACGATGCTTTTTTAGTGTCCTCTTCTCATTACATAGCCCGTTGATCCCGCATATTCTGTTTCGTCGAATGGGAGCGAAGGGCTCTCTTAATTTACGAGAGAAGATGCTTATTAAATTGTGTCATCCTCGAATAAGGGCTAACGCGCTGCATCCAATTTGTGCTGCTTAATTAATTCTCTCCAATACATCACGGGGACCGACCAATAAAGAAACCAGGACCCGACTATGCCAACGAGCGACGATGCCACCACAATATTGTCCCTAATGAAATCTTCGTTAATCGTGTCTTCTTCTAGTTTTCTAACGTACACAATGATGATGATAATGGTCAATTGAATGCTCAAGAATTTTGAGAAGTTTGCGAAAGAATTTCATAAATTTTAATAGAAATATTATTATGTATCAGGTTTAACAATTAATTCATTGTCTTGATATTAAATTCATTACATCAAAATCGCCATTTATTTTTCCTTTAAAAGAAGGATCAAGGTCATAGAAAATAACGAAGACGACATTTAAGACTTTTGAAAAATAAAAAAATACACAATTAATTTATAAATAAACACTAAATTTGTTTAAAAGGCAACAAATTAACTGCTACATTGTGTAGATATAATATTATGTGTGTTTTTATTCTTGTTGGAAATTCTTTGATGATTATAATTTTAATGTTGGCTTCAGTAACGACATCGATTTTTTCTGATCGAATATAATAACGTACTTTATTGAATTGCTCTCGAGACAATGTGGTAAACAGGGCGAGTTATGCTAACAGGATTTATTCAAGAATTGATGGAGATGTATTGAGTTAGGCATACTCAGCTTAACAGCTCTAATCGTACATTATATAGTCATCGCAGCCGCAACGTACTTACATTATTATCAAGCCATACACTTGCATATGCATATATGTATATATTATATTAACTTATTTAGTGTAATATTCGTATTATGTAATACAGTGTGGATAACGAATCGTTCTTTTTACGATCGCGTGATTCCTTCTTGTTGTTTCTTAATTTTTTTCATTTTATTTTAAAGTTCTCACTTCTAAAAGTCCCAGACGAGTCATATCTTTATGTAACTCTTACTTCAATTATGGGCTGCGGCATGTGCATCGACTTTCTTTGGTATGTGGCCATGCGGTCGCCCTCGTAATTCCGTTATTCGTCTGGTAGAAAAGAATATGTCAGCAATTGGTGCAAATTGAGATAATTTAATGGAAAACTACATTTTTAAATTGAGCAATTACGTCGATTATCCGAGCGCCAATCACAGTGCATTGCGAGGCGACGAACTAAAGCTTTGCGTTGTGAGAGTATTTATTAGAAATAGATTTTGTTTTTCTTCTATTTTTTATTGGAAAATAATTTACATTGAAATTGTTGATCTTGATCGTTTATTTTTTAATACATAAAATCGAATAATTTTATCTTTGGAAATAGATAAGATCGACGAATTATCGTGTAATTGTCGAAAGCTTTGATCTAACGTGGATGACAGGACGGAAAGCTAATTAAGAAATTATCGCCTTTAATTGCGATTCGTGCTATTTGCGCAATGGCGTGGCGGTACAACGCGCGCTATTGTCGTCGCGTGCCGAATTATTGGATGTTGACGTCATTGGAGCCACTATTGTAAGCCGGCGTCCCTTTGTTCGTAATTGCCGACACCAATTATACAATTAACAGTGCGTCGTAATGAGCACTGAGAATCATACGCTTTTGCTTCTTTGCCGATGCTTTTCGTAAAAAGTTTCGCACTTTCGTTTATTGTTTGTCTTTCATTATTTCTAATCTTTCCACGATTGATTTAAATATAGGACAAAATTTTGAAAGAGAGAAATTAAAATTAACATCAAGAAATAATAATATAAATAATAATAGTATTTTATTTATTAATTATTCATTATATTTTAGATATTTTAATCAATAAGAAGATTCTTTCCGTTTAACGTTAAAGGTTTTTATAAATAAATTGATTAAATTCTTATTAAATTTATATGTTATAATTACTATTAAAAGATATATCTATTTTTTCAGAATTAATTTAAAACATAGAAATTTTTTTTCCCAATATCATTTCCATAATTATTTTAATAATCGAAGTTATAATATAGATAAAACTAATTTAAACGAATTTGTTTATAATTCGAGATTTATTTAAGGAAGTAAAAACGGTATATTTGTAGACTAGAAATGCGAATTTTGGAAGGATGAACGTACAATTTTTGATGAATAAAATTATTTATACATTTTGTGGCATACAATTTTGTGTTGACACTGTCTGTGTCCAGTCGAATTCTACTATTTGAAAAATTATGCTGCGATCATCAGGTTCATTCATCCCACTAATTATTATGATTATTGTGCGTTTTATTTACTTGTATTCTGCAAAAAAGTATTTATTTTGCAACATTTATTCGTTAGTATTTGAAATTGGGAGCTTTGGGAAAATCTGTATTTAAAAAATATTAAAGCAATGTGAAAAACCACTGGTTGAATGTATTAAAATTACAATTAAAAGAATAAATAAAATGTATCGAATTTTTTCAGTATAATTCCAATATTAATAAATTTTATTCTCAAAATATTTCTATAATTATTTTAATCATCAAAGTTGCGATAGAGGAAAGAATTATTCTACAAAAATTTGTCCATCATTTATGAATTACATACTTGAAAAAAGAAATCAAAACATTTTTTTTCAGATAAAAAACGCGAAATGTTAGTATAACGAATGTGTAACAAATACATTGCGTGCGTCGACGTGTAAATAGTGCACGAAAGGCAAAGTAACCGCAATCCCTTCGACCCTTATGGCTCGCGTAGAAGAGTAGTAGGAAGCAATCGGATGATCGCACAATAAAACACTGGCATAATGTTTCGTCCGGGTGGTTGAACACCGCAAATACATCTTTCGACCGCATGCTGGTCTATTTTGGAAAGGGGATACCGCGTTCCCCTAGACTTTCGAAACTGAGAAAAAGAGAGAGAAAAAGGGGCAACGATGTTGGTGGTAGCCCTGACAGTATTCGCTCTCGTGCTTGAGGGACACCCGTAGGCGCCCTTCGTGGATTAGCTTCGCTACATTTCGTCCCTTCTGTCGGTGCGTATGTTCCATCGTTATGCATCTAAGTACTACTAAGTCGATAGTGTAAAAGCAAAGAATGATGCTCTCTGACGTTTGATTATAATCATTTTTGATATATGAAATGAAGTTAAATATCTGCATTTTACAAAGATTCAGAAGAAAATCATATATTTACTTATTTTATGTTTAAAAAAAAAACATAATTAAAAAAAAAGAAAAAAAGATATGAATTTGACATATGAAAAATAAACAAACAGAAGTTTCAAGGACGAATCTGAGTCTCGAGGTACTTAAATTCGTCGTCGCGTAAAGTTGCACGGACGAAACGAAAATTGCTTGAATTTCATTAAGTTTGGCAGCAATTACTTTTGATGACCGACACGCGAACGTAATTACGTTGGTGCAAGGGTCTGGAGGGAGAGAAGGGTAATAATTCGCTAATATCAATTTCAAATTTCAATTAGTATCATCTCGACATCCGCCTCTATCTCTGTTCCTGGACCCCACAGGAGCACGCCATGATCTAAAATTCAATTTGTCCCTTCGTACCCGAAGCCGCAAAGAGAGAGAGAGAGAGAGAGGAGAGAGAGGAGAGAGAGGAGAGAGAGAGAGAGTTGAGTAGAAGAAGAGAGAGATATGTAGATATATATTGAGATAGCAAGAGGGGGATTGTTATAAAGAGGGGGCACGGAAACGAGATATGGATATGTATGTATATACATGGTGCCTGAAAAGACTCTAAAAACTTATATTTAACTTATATTTTTTTCATATCTCTTTAATTTTCTCGTCAACGAGGTACCATCAAATCTTTTATCCCGACAAATTTAATAAATTCCGAATTAATGAGTCCTTGCGATAAGAATTTTGTTATTCAAATTCATAGTAAAGTTTTAATATCGTCTATATTTGTTGTTATTGAAAATAAAAATGAGCTTGAGATAAATAATTCGTAGAACGCTATAAAGGCAAGATTAGACTAGAAAAAAGCGAATATAGTTGGTATACGGTGGTATTCATTCTAAAAAAACTCGCGTGCACGTTCTGCTATTATATAAAGTGAGATACGGCCCTGTAGGCACGCGCATGCGCGACACACATGCCGACCTATTATAAATTGATAACTCCGCCGTTTATTAAGTTCCACGACCGATGCCCGCTTAGGCAAAGAGCCTTCTCTCTATGCTCTTGCTCTTCGCGTTCTACCTTTCCCTCTCTCGTTAGCAAAACTCCAACCCCCCACCACCACCGTTAGAGATACATACATTATTTATTTACGGGAGTTTACAATCCCTCTAATGGGGATCGGCGTAATCGGCCATCCAGCCATCCTCTCTCTCTTTCTCTCTCTCTCTCTCTATATATATATATATTATATATATCTTCCTTTCTCACTCTCGAATTTCCACTCATCCTATTCTTCCATTTTCTCAAACATTCACTTTTTGTCTTTCTCCTAATCATGTTTCAACTCCCCTACTTTGGAAAATCGCTCGTCCGTATAAGCCTAACTCTAAGATTTCCAATTCTTTTTCTTTTCTGAGAGAAAAAAAAGAAGAAAGAAGGATAAAGGGACTCTTCCTTATTTCTTACGGAACGTCACTTCTCGTAAATTCATTAAAATGAACATTAATTTTTCTGAGAATTTTTCCACCATAAAAAAGAGGGAGAGAAGAAGTCAATTAGAGAACCCGCATTGTTGCAGATTGGATCTGTTCACGCGCATCAAACGAACAACCATCAGCATCAACATCTTCAACAACAGCAACAACAGCAGCAGCAGCAACAACAACAACAGCAACAACAACAAACGCAGCAGTCGTTGCAGCAACAACAAACGTCGAGTCAATCGCAAGTGCCTGGTGGGGGAGGGGGTGGAGGGCCGGGGGGTGGTACGGTGGCCAGGGCCGGAGGAATGTTCTGCTACCACTGCCCCCCTGGTCTTCCGGCACCAAGACTTCCACCATCTTTGGAGTATCCCTTCGCACCGACTCATCCTTGTAAGTTCAATTCCTACATTTTATATTCTTCTTTCTCTTTATTTCATTTTATTCTTTATATCTAACATTTGAAATGACTCTAAATTCAAAAAAGAAAATATGCTTGAAAAGCCAATGGCATTACTACCATTGGATGTTATTTAATTCGATAAATATGACGGTATGATTATTCACGATAAAATTTATATCGCAGGGGTTGACTTTGGAGTTTATGCGACCGTAGGAAGGAGTTTTACATTTTTCAAACGGCTCGAGTATCGCACGCATATTCCACCGTCCCTCTTAATTCTCCCAAGAGTGTCTCGACTGTTCTGTAAAAATATGACTTTTCAATGGCGATTTAAAGGAGACTCGAAGGATATGATGTTGATGATAAATTATGCAAGATGATAGAAGAATATTAGAGGAGAGAAAATCGTGTTGGAAAGTAGAGAATAAATGTCTTTTTTTGTAGGTATGCATGTATATGTTTATATATACAGAGATGTATACGTGAAAGAGGGAGAGAGAGAGGGAACGTGAAAGAGAGAAGAAGATAGTGTTACCGGATTGATTGTGTGGCACTTGCTCTGGCGGAACACATCGATGAAGTTACATTACCGACTAGACCGAGTTACGCAAAGTGGACGCTACAAACTGGACGGTCACTAAACTTAATTTGCACTTCGAACCAACTTCCGGTTAAACCGCGTCTCGACGGTAAAGCCGCCTGCCTGACGAAACTTCGACAGTAGTTTGCTTATTCACTGATCGTTTTCCAAGTCGAATTCCATCTTACTACGAATAAACTCGAAAACTCAAAGTCGTTTTACTTTCTCTTTTTACTTGAGAAAAAAGAAAGAGAGAGAGAGAGAGAGAGAGAAAGAAAGTTTATTGGAAAAACTGAGCAACGAAAAAGTGGCACGATACTGTAATTGAGTTATTCTTAGAAAAGGATGTTACTTTCTTGAGTTAATTATTTATGCTATTGCTGCTGTGATTTCGAAACTTTCGAATAATTCGATTTGTACGTAATCGAGGAATAGTATATGATATCTATAAACCAATAAACTTAAGCATAATAAATGAATGAAATCGAATATAATGAATAAATGTAATGTTAGAAAGTGAATGAAAATTGATATCTAATAAAACTCAAATGTAAAGATTGAAAGTAACGAATTAGACGTTAGTTTAGAAAGAGGGTTGTATGTAGTACATGAGAAATATTATTTTCTCGTGCAGACTCGTTTTAAAATAGAACTTTAGAAGGTTTTCGATGGAGCGTCAGTACCGTATGCGGTGGATGATTGAACAAATGACCTCGACGGAGAGAAAAAGAGAGAGAGAGAAGGGGGAAAGGAGGGTGGTGGGTGTCCTCAGGGACGTCCGGGCACCCTTCCAACTCCCTGTCCCCCCGTAGCCAATGCTACAGACCCCTCTTTGCCCCCCCGTTGGGATAAACAGATTAGGTAACTACGTGATAAGTCGGTAAGTGGGTTCACTCCGGCCCACGGTCCAGACCTACCGACATTCGCTCTAACATCTAACTACCTCGTTAGTGTCATTAGTAACGGTCGGGGTGTCATTAGATTTAGTTCTACGTGTAGTTTTTCTATGGAGCATTCTCCTCTCTTTTTCTTTATGTTTTTCTCCCTCTCTCTCTCTCTCTCTCTCTCTCTCTCTTATTTAAGAAGTGAATGTTGTTTGCAATAGTTTCTTGATAGAAACCGTGACTTGCAAGGAATCTTCGCGAAGACCTATTTGATTTTTTTCAATTCGAATTAACGTGATTAGTTTCTAAATTCTTAGGTAGATCGTTGATTGAAAAATCTCTTGGAAGGTAGAAAGGTACCAACTAAGTAACTCAAAATCTAATTTTTGATGAAGTAAAAGAAGAGAGGCATAAAAGTGGATGAGGCTGGTAAATAAATGTACTGGTGTCCCAAACTGAAATCCACTCAAGATCTTAGATTAGAGTCGGGCGAAGGTAAAGCTGGGATCCAGACAACTCATACAACTCATCGAGAGTCGGCTTAATCCAATTTATTAGTATACCCGGAGTCCCGAACGGAGTCGGCTCTTGCCAACGACTTTTGCACTTGCGCGTACTCCTACACACACACACTCTCTCTCTCTCTCTTTCTCTCTTATTCGTCGTCTACTTGACGGTATCTTCTTTCAACGAGAAATAACTTAGATAACTTGGATCAAACATTTTTTTACAGAGTCGTACAATTTTGCAGATTTACTTGTTTCTTTTCTTTTCCTTTTTTTTTACCTCTTCATATTACCTACCAGTTTTCTTATTCTGCTCTACTATGATTTATCCCATAGTCAACGGAAGACAAAAGGTTAGGTAATCCTTGAAGAACGATAAAAAAAAGAGAAGAATAATCGTCATTGCACATAACCATCCAACAAAAATCCTTTTTATTCACGTCGAGTTTATGCGTTGCTACGTTTTCATTATGCTTCATTCAATGATTTATCCTGGTCTGCAGATAAAATAATCAAAATCAAAGCAAATTCAATGATGTAATATTGAAAAATATTTTGATTACGTATTGCAGTTGAAAATATTCTACAAGGGTGATTGAACTATTAGTTCTTTTTCTCTTTCTTTCTCTCTCTCTTTCTCTCTCTCTCTTTCTCTCTGTCGGTACCTGGAATTTCGATCCTTAATACAGCAACAATTTGATTGCTACTTTATCGAATCTATTTTCACGTATAATATAATGTTAAATCTTCTTTGCTCTTATATATACATATGTTGATGTTACTCAGTAACACTTTAAATATGTTTTCCCAAAAATATGAATTATTTCGAGTAAAATTTAAGGTTTTCACGATTTAACCGAATTATACAATTTAACACTGACATATACATTAACAAGAACTTTAAATGCAAATCTACAATGATTAAGAAATCAAGAAACATGTGATATTTGTCGAATTTTTTTCGATAGTTAAAATTATTACAATCTTTTTGATAACATATTACGGTAAGTTTTATTTTCATTTAATCGCAAAGTGACTTTATTTTCCTGTAATTTTATCATACCTAAAATGAAGATAACTAACATAAGAGAGAGGGAGAGAGAGAGAAAGAAATAGAAAGATAAAGAGTAGATGGAAGAGAGAACGAAATGGCATGAATTTTTATGAGTTTAGGAAATTAATTTGTGTTTTTCGTTAAGCTTTGGCTTAGCGCTGTGGTAATTAATTGCGCTGATTGCTTTGCATCATTGATGAGCGGTTCCGGGTTTCGTAATATCCATTCTCTCTCCCTCTTTCTCTTCTACCTATACTCGCTAATGTTTCTACCTCTCATTCTCTTCTATTCGTGTTTCTATATATCTGTAGGTACGCTCGAAGCTTTCGGTAAATCGCGTATTTTGGATTTCCGCGCTATACAACACAACCCTTTCGTGTAATCGTCTGGAAAATCTAAAATTGAAATTGATCGGGGGAACAACGTTTCTCTATAGATATTAACGAGGAGAAACATGTATCACTTTTTAATTAATCCCTTTGATAATCGGATCGATCACTTCCATATAAATACCTAGTACATACATACATATATATGAGTTTCTTTTTTTAAATAGTATAAGTCGAATTTTGAATAAAAATTTCTTATTATAACTAGTTTTAATATAAATTTAATTTAATTYTCATTGTATTTTTAATGACAAAACCAATACAGTATAATATCCTTAAACAAATTTGTTATATAAAGTTTCATTTAAAAGTGCAATTCCAAAAAGAAAAACTTATTTTTCTAAAACATTTTTATTAATTGTTATTTAATAGTAAAATTTATCTCAAAATAAGAATTAATAGATTTATATATCACTTTAGAAACAAATAGGTTATATAATATAGATAGATAAAAATGATCCGTTTATTTTTTTGATTTCAGATACCAGTTATTCGGCTTACCATCCAGCTTTGCACGGAGTCGGTGAGGATTCTTTCGTAAGAAGAAAACAACGAAGGAATAGAACGACCTTTACTCTCCAGCAATTAGAGGAACTCGAATCAGCTTTTGCACAGACTCACTATCCAGACGTCTTTACGAGGGAAGATCTAGCGATGAAGATCAACCTTACGGAAGCAAGAGTCCAGGTGAGTTTTTCTTTCTTTTAAAATTGCTTATAAGTGAAATTCACAAAATGAATACGAACAAAAATAAAATATTAAGTGTAGCAATTAATTCAGTACTTTAATATTAAATTCATTGTATCAAAATCGGCATCTTTCTTTCGTCGAGATAATCGGCAGTTGTCTGATTGAGATAAATTATTATTAGCGAAAATAATGAAAACTAATTTGAAAAATAACAGTTATATATTATAATAAATTTCTTTAAAAGGTACCGAATTAATTGCTACTACCTAATAAATGAAAAAAGAGTTTGGTGATTATGTCTTTGTTTATGGTGCACATAAGTACATAGGTCATTTGTAATTTTATTCCCATAACCGTGTCAGCGCTAGCCGAAAGAGAGAAAGAGAGGTAGAGAGAAAGAATGAATGAAAGAAAAAGAGAGAGAAGGAAAGAGAAACAGAGAGAGAGAGAGAGAGAGAATTATAGGAAGAAGCAAGCGAGAGTCGCACCCCTTAGCCCCATGAGGCATACTGACACCCTCGACCTGACGTAATCTCCTGACAGAGTAAGCCGGTAATCTCTGGGATTACTTTGTATTCGCGGCAACGTCCTACCAGCCATATTTACTCCTGCCGCGGTAATTCGCTCGGAGAATCCACGCAACAGCACCGATTCCCATTTAGAAAATCCTTTTGCCTTTCCCAGATAGATTGATGTTTTTCCTTACCTTCTCAGTATATTACCATATACCTTGGTGTGGTCAGTTTGTTTTCTTTTTATTTATTCATCGAAATCGTAATAATGGGATAATTGAATTTGTTTTAACACGTGATAAACTGTGATTAGCAATGATTGTTTATTCTTATAATTGATGAGTTATAGGGTTGTAAAAAAAATCAATAAATTATTACATTGAATAAGGTTTTATCTAAATTGTACAATAACACAAATAAATTAAACAAAATGAAAAATATAATAAGATTATCTAATGAGACAATTATTAATTTAATCTTTAATCATTAAATTTTTATTGTAAATACTAGTGATTAAAATTCTATTTAGCTACGAGGTGTGTTAATGCAATATTAATAAAAATGGTGCTAACCTTCTTATACTTTTTATCATATGCTATTACATATTTCGTATAATTTTAGCTTTTTTTTTTCCCTACCAACAAAATCCATTTTAATCCAACTTATTTTCAACTTAGTAGCAACCAAATGCATTGTCAAGGGATACCGCGGTGTTGTATAACGAATAAATTCCAATGAAATAAGTACATTATTATTACTCATAAAACTTTTTAATAATTTATTATTATATAAAGCTTATAATAATAATAATGAAAATTTTATATTGGTCTACGGGTTACGACCTTACGAAAATTCTGTAGTAATTTTAATATGTTAAAAGGATCGAGAATAGATATTTCCTAAAAAAGATTTTCTCTTGCGTCAATTTAATATGCATTGTACAGGGGAGGCTAAAAGCCGAGAGGTAGATCCGATAGAAGTATATACAATAGACGAGACAAAGAGAAAGAGAGAGAGAGAGAAAGATAGATGCAGAGAAAGAGAGAAAGAGAGAGAGAGAGACTGAGAGAGAAGCAGCCATGACGTAATTACGGCGCAGACTCATTGTTTCATTAGCAAAGACAAAGGGAATCTGGAATAATGGACAAATAGGCGCGTTTATGTAGTGCCTGTCCTCCTCTTCTACTCCAATTAGTACCTCCTAGGGGGTGGAGGGGGACTTCTGCATCGTTGAGGCACGTTCTAAAGCGCTCGAATCGCGTACACGAATAACCATTGCACACTCTCGCGCCCAGCATTTATTCAACCTTGCATCGCTAGTTTACGCTTAGCCTTACCCCCATCATGCATCTGTGTATATATGTGTGTGTGTATAGTATTTGTCTCATTGTTTATTTCTTCTTTATCGTATACGAAGTATAAATAAATTTAATAGGAATCTGATTAATGAAATTTATTTCAAAAGAAATTATATTTTTCTAATTCAAAAAAATGGAAACACGAAGATAGTAAAGTTCATTTTGAGAGCTTATTTGAATAATTTCGTAATTATGTACAAATTAAATAATATGAAAAAAAAAAATGAAAAGTTAGAAGATCTGTACAAATTTTTTAAATGAAGTTTTGAATATCTAATTGACAGAATTTTAACGATTACTTTTAATTCTTAAGGCAAAAAGAAAAAAGAAACATCATTCTTTAAAAAATGTAGTGTTTTGTTTTTTGACGTTAAACGACATGATCCTTAAGAGCAACAGTAATCACAGGACACTTTTAGGCTCAGGATTTATTCAACCTTTTATCAGTCCAAAAAAATAATAGTTCGGCCATAAAACTCGTTTAAACTTTAATAATCATGCATTTAATAGGAGTATAACTAGTGACGTTGAGCTTCTAGGACTCTGGTGTTAAAATCACGTCTTATTCAATTTTTTTTTTTTTTAATGAAAAGGGATACAATAGATACTTTTGTAGATACACTAATATTAATAAAAAAGATATTTATATTTTAATAACATTAAAAAATACGGTTTTAACTAAAAATATTTTTAAACTCGAGTCCCTGTGACCCGAGGTTATTAGTTAAAGTTTAAATAATTCCGTCATAATCAAATGGTATAAAGATGTAAAGAGAAAGATGTAAAAATCATACGATCAATGAAAATATGCAGATGGATTCTTAACGAGTCAAAGATTTGCACGGTAAGCGCCGAAAGATTAAATACCTCAGTGGGTACGGTAAGAGTCAAGCCGTGGCCATTACCGACATATTTCGGATTAAATTCGTATTGAAAAGGGATGAAGAAGAACGCGCGTAAGAAATAGAAGAGAAAGGGAGAAAGAAAGAAAGAAGTATATATATAGGAACGAGTACAAGAGGGAAAGAAAGAACGAAACGCTCTACGCTGCGAGGTAGTCTCGAGGGAACCACGGCTTTGTTCCCAGCTATTACTCGCCCCCGCAACCCTTAGGATATTATTATATCTCCCCGTCTGCCAGCATAGCTACCCACTCTTCTAGTACCACCACCACTACCACCACCACCACCTCTATTCTACCTCTTCCTTCTCTTTTCGAGACCGTGCTTGCCTTCGAAACCGCACCGGCCTCCTGTAGAACCGAGCTCATCGTATTTATTTTATTAAACCATTTCCCAAGCCTCTCTCTCTCTCTTTCTCTCTCTCTCTCTCTCCCTACTACTTTCGAGCAACCCCCATCCCCACCTCCCGACGAAACTTTTGCCGTTGGTTGTAGTAGTAGTAGTAGTAGTCGTAGTAGGAAGGATAGTAATTTCGAAGACTCCTTACTTCGTCCTCGAGGCATGGAATTTTTATACCCGCCAAGGATCGATTCGATATTCGCGTTTACCCTATTTCACACTTAACATTCTCCTCTCTTATCCTCTTTTCAAGATACCATTCTCGATATTTATCGATCGTTTAAAAAGCCATGAGACGCGATTTACGATCAGCTTTAAATTTGCTTACTTTCACGTATACACCTATAATGTATGTACGTTTATCTATGTATATATGTATGTACACATTGTACATATTATATACATTTGTGCGGTGAGTCACAGGAATATTTGTATATCTACTACCAATTTTAAGCAAGAAATATTTACTTATAAATTAGGTTCCAAAATTAATATATGGTTCTTTGAAAATAAATACTTAAATTTATTTTAAAAAGGCACCGAAAGAATTTTTACAATCTAATCTAATATTTCAAAAGTCTTGTACAAAGAAACATATTTTAGAATAATGAAACTTTTAAATGGATATCCATTGCAAAAGAGTATTTTATTTGACATGATTAATAAGAAAATTGATACAAAAGATGGCAATTTTGGTGGAATAATTTCAATATCAAGGCATCGAATTAAACTTCTGCACCTAATATTTATTTTCATCGCAAGACAATGCAAGAACTAAAATAAAAACAAAATAATATGTAGACGCCGAGAGGATGAGAAGAGCGTCGTTATGCTATAAGAGAGAAATAAAAAAATAAATAAAATAAACAAAGAATGACAAAAAAATAAAATAAGCAACGACGAGGAAACTGAGAGAAAGAGAAAGAGAAAGAAAGAGAGAAAGTATAGCTAGGTATAATAAAGTCTATTTCAGTTGGTATTATGTCAAGTTAGTCTCGTTAGCGGAACTCGAGCTTTTTAAAAAGCACTCGAGGGCAGTGCTTGCTGTTGGCTCGTTGAACATGCACGACGGAAAAGAGTACCTCGACAATCTTCTCCATGCACGTTCCTGCCTCAGAATGCCACCCGGTACATGCAATTATCCTTGCACATTCGCGAACAAGACGAGAAAACGTAGGCTCCCTCGCTTCCAACTTTTCTTTCTTTTGTTTTTCTCATTTTTCTCTATATTCTTCTTTCCTTGTCTCTACCACCCTCCCAGCCCCCACCGACAAAGCCAAGTAGTCGACAAAACTCAAGCTCGTTGACTTTATTTGAACGTCGTTATTAAATTTTGAATTAGGTTTACAAGCATAAATGGAAGCGATTTGAGATGAGGAGTCCCTGTGTAAATCCTGTAGCGTGTAAATTTTCGTTAATAAATGAAACGTTTTTATTCGTCGACATCAATTGAAGTTGAAAATATGCATTTTCACATGTATGCATATAATATACGTTACAGTGTGCGTATATACATATATATACATATATAAATCATATACATATGTGATTTACCATTTTAACGAGAAAATTACTCGAAAGCATAAATAATAAATGCTTCCAGTGGAATTAATGGTAAAAGTGAGAAATACGCGGGTATTTTTGCAGGTTTGGTTTCAAAATCGTCGAGCAAAATGGCGGAAAAGCGAACGACTGAAAGAGGAACAGAGGAAGCGAGAGGGTGGAAATGGTGGTGCTGGAGGAACAGGAGGAGGAAGTACAGGAGGAGGGAGCTCTGGAAGCGGTGGAACCTTGGAAACCTCAGGATTGGCACCACCAGCTTCTTCGTCCGCTGGTCCTAGTCCTACTGGTCACGATCCTGAAGGTATATAAAAATAATGTAGCACAAATATATATATATATATATATATATATATATATATACTTATATACTTACATATTGTATATAAATTACTACGACAAGTTATAGATCTTAAATAAGTAAGGATAAAAAAAGATACTATAATTTTACGTCTTACTTGGGCAGTAATATGATTGCTGTTTTACAATAGGTTGTTATGAAATAGGAAATTTGAATTGAATCTTTTTTAAAATTATTCTTTTATTTTTTTCATTCAAACAATCGTTTATATCTTTGATCGAAAAAGAAAAAATAATTGTATATTCACTTTTTACATATTTAAATTGCAAAAGAGCATCTAGTATTATTTTATATAACTTTAAGCAAGGAATGTGTGTGTGTATTCTATACAAAAAAAAAAAACGTTTTCTGTTGTTCTTGCATAAAGCACAAAATAAGATGAAGTCAGAAAAGGTATGTAAAAGTTGACTGATTATGCAGGTACTACAAGTAGCAGTGCTGCTGATGCCGAGGACGTAGGACCAGAGGGTGCAGGTGGTTCGAGAAGCCCAAGTACAACATCCGCCTCGGTCAGTCCTCGGCCCCAGCCGAGTCAGCCGTCCCTGGGTGGCGTCTCGACGCCACCACCGACCCCTATAAGGGCGCCGCCACCACCGCCGAGCACCGTAGGGGGCTTGGGACCACCCGCTGAGAGGTAAGCTTTTAGCTTCGTTTGTATTTACGTCTTTAGGAAATATCTACCTCTCTTTTCTCTTTTCCTCCTCACTTGATCTTTCTCTACTAGACTCCTTCCATCTTCCTCTTTCTCTCCTCTTATCTCCCTCCCTCCCTCCTTCCCTTCCTTCCTCTCTCTTCCTCTCTTTCTCTACTAGTTCTTCTTTCTCATCCTACTTCGAGTTTTCCTTTCCTCCTAGCTTATTTTTCGTTCCTCACGAATCCCCACGATTTCAACGTACAAGCACCGCTGAACACGTCACCCGGATGCTGGATACGCGCCATTAAACTACCCCCTTGAAGCCGCCAACACTCTCCCCCTTTCTTCATCATCCTATTCGCAATGTTCGTTCTCTCTCATCGTAGACTAAGCGTTTCACTTCCTCTCATCCTTCTTCAACTCCAAACCACTCGTATAATCGCGATAATCGTCGGCTCGTTAAATCTCGCTGGTTTACACACATACGAGCTAATCTTCTTTCTATGTAATGGATCGTTTAGCTGTGTTATACTTTTCGTCTTGTAAGAGTTAGGTAAATTATTTCAATGATTTTTCTTTTCTTTTTCTTTTGTCATTCAAAATTCAATTCATTCATTCAAAAGATAAAGGAACAGGGAACAGGCCACTTGACAAATGATAAATCGCGACAAAATTTCAACAAAGGGACTCTCGACGGAAATACTTATTCCAACAAATGATCATTTTCCGAGTAATAGAATGAAATAAATCTTCTATTTCTCTTCTTCTCTCTCTTTCTCTGTCTAAAATGTTAGTTTTCTAGTATTACATATTTCACGAAAAAGTGGATTAGCTTAAACAGTCAAGAGGAGCAATGTCGGTTTAATAATGACAAAAAACAAAGCTGGATACTTATTTTTAAATTATTTTATTTAACTTTAAAATGGGGGAAAGAGGATTCTCAAATGCATTTTGTAATTAAATCTTTCTTCGTTTATACTTGTCAAAAGCACAAGATAATCGTACACTGATGGCAAGAAGATGAGAGATGAATGAAATAAAAGAAGTTAAGAAAGAAACTAAGAAGAGAGACAAAGGAAGAATAAGAGGAAGGATGAGGTAAAAGGAAAGGAGAGAAAGAGAGAAAGAGAGAGAAAGAGAGAGAGAGAGTAAATCCGACGGTTGCTCTACGTAATCCCAAAGACGAGTCTCCTCCATTGCATTGAGCCTAGGAAAAGGTAAGAACAATGTCGAAAATGTAGACACGTAGAGTACATTCGTACGAGTTAGATGGAATACAAGATGGAGGAAAAGGAGAGTATTTGTATTTGTATACGTATTCGTGTGTATATGTATATGCACGTAGAAGAAGGGTATGGGTTCGAAGAGGTGGATGAGGAAGAGAAAGAGAGAACGGTGGAGAGAGACGGTGGAGGTTGGAAAGGTACTCCTTCGCCGCCTCCGCAGTTGTAATTTATTTAAAACCGCTCGCCGTAAATATATCCTCATTATTTATTCAGATGTACGGGAGCTTCTCGACTACAGGGGTGTAAGCTTTGCGTTCCTTCTTACCTTATACATATACATATATATCTACAAAGATACAACCGCCGTGTATATCTATGACGATGGTTCTCCTTCACTTCTCTATCTTTGTATTTATCTCTCTCCCTCTCTCTCTCTCTCTTTCTCTTTATTTTCTTTGTTCACTTTCAAAGTAGTATTTCTATTCTCTTGTCGTCGATTTAAATCACTCGCAGTTTGACGTTTTGACATTTTTCAAGGAATCGAAAATTTTAACACATTGCGTACGGGTCACGAACATTTCCCTTAAAAATAGTAAACCATGCGTTGATGACGGGTTATGACATATCTCGTTTTGTTACTTTCTCATATCCGCGTATCGACGTCTCAATGAATTTCAAATAATTTGATTAAATTAAATTTAATTTTTGTAAATGAATCAATGAATATATATAGTAATATTTAGAAATTTATAAGTGTCAATAATAAAAGTACTGTGCATTGTACTATTAAGCTTTCTGACGCTCTTCACAATGTGTTAATCAAATTTTTTGTCATTGTAAATTTAAGAAATCATATTTGTATATAAACTCCATATGTTCTATCTAGATTTATATTTCCATGAATAGTTGTATAAATTTATCGATTTAGAATATCATTTCCAGCGCTCTAAACGTGAATAGGAAGTCAACAAGGAATCCCGTGGATGATACGCGGTATATACGCGAACGAAATTAGTTTGGTGTGTTCGCTCGAAAGGCAAGCGAGCGCACGTAAGCAAGGTGCACGGTAGGCTACGCGGCTAATTGCTGCTAATTATCGCGCTTACAGGCAGTACGATACCCCTTCCCCTCTCTCTCTTTCTCTATCTCTCTTGGACGTATTAGCAACGTCACTAGGAACCACTACCAGTATAACAGCAGCATCATCCAGCATTACTACACACCATCCTTGCAGATCCCCTCTCTTCGTTTTCGCGGTTTCCCTCTCCTTTCGTTCTTTCCCACCACCAACAGTATCGCATCGGCCTACCTAAAATCCGCTCTCGGCTAAAGGATTCTACAGGAGTCAGACCGCCTTTCCCACTTCCTTCTAAATTCCACCTCCAGAGTACTATCCGACCAACTGAATACCGTTAGCTAGCAAAATCTTCTCTCCATCTCACTCTTTATCTTTCTCTTTCTCTTTTCTCTTTCCCTCTCTCTATTTCCTACTCTTCTACGAACTCTGGAAATTACCACTTCCCTTTGCCCGCACAGCTCTTTCGCCCGAAGCTCGTTACATTAATTAAACAATATTTGCGATTAATATTTGAGATAATCATCAGCGCCTCAAAGGAGTCTTCTCTCGAAGGATGCGGAACATCGCACGTGTTAATCGGGTTAACGCTTCCACGGGCTATTTCTCTCTCTCTTTTTCTCTCTATTTCTAATCCCAACATTATCTTTTCAATCGGATCCTTTTACTTGAAAAAAAAAAAGAAAACGTTATTAATTACTTCTTCGCTTACACACGATGATTTAAATTGGTTTTCTTTCTTTGTTTTTTCAGCACTCCTGGATTAGGAGCAGGCTTTAGGCCAGTGGAACCACCGACCTCACTTTTCTTCTCGCCACATTTAGCTGCACAATTTTCACCGCCACTCTTTGGTAGTAAAGTTGTAAGCAGCACACCAACATCGTTGACCTCTACGACACCTTCTCTATGGAGTACGAGCGATCATCGACCGGGTAGCTTGCAAGAAATGTTGTCTTGGTCACCAGCAGGCTGGCCAGGTTCATTATGTGGCTGCTGCAAACCCGGTACAGGTGATCTTCATCGTAGCAGCAGTCTCGCTGAATTGAGAAGAAAAGCTCAGGAACATTCGACAGCCTCAGCATTGTTAGGCGGACTAGCTGGTTTTCCTGGTGGTTTACCCTTGCCCTTACATCTACCCTTACTGCCACCTCTCTTAGGTCTATCCAGAAGACCTGAGAATCATCATCATCATCTACCAAGCGTCGCCCATCAGATTCAACCGACGACGAAAGAGGATCCCTAGGATCATCTGATCGTAGTTCTTTCTTTGAATCTAATATATCCTATCCACGTTTTCTCGATAACTCGAACCAACTTAGCGGTTCGTCGGATAACGTTGGGTTTTTCACTCGGAATTTTATCGAAGTTTTGCCAAATACGATGAATTACGTCGTTGGTACATTTTTGTGATTGTTCGAAAATACTTTAAACGCACGCTCGAGATTTATATTATATAAATAGCGTCGATTTGCATTTATCCTCGAACCCCATTAGCGTATTCTTTGTTTCCGGTTCGTATCTTTTTTTTTCTTGTTAATTGCAAATGTAGATGCATTGTTATAGTTATATAGATTAGGTGCGAAATAAAACTACGAGAACCTCCGGAATCGTCTTCGTAATTTCGCGTCGTTCTGTGAAAACAGTATCGGATTTATAGATTTTGTTCGAAAAGTAGATCACTTGTTTTGCGTTTATGCGGGAAGTTATTTCGATTTTTATTTAAGCACAAAATCCGATATTTTCGCAACTAAACGCAATTGTACTTTGAATATTTTCTAACGATAGCAGATTAACGGTGATGTGTCTGAATAACCAAGTAATGTTTGCATTTGTCTGCTGGAACTATCAAAAATTAGAGTACTCGAGTTTTTCGTAGAAAATTTTTACTGTCTTCTTTTTTATATTTACATAAAATAATAATCTTTATTTAAACTCATATCACCGTCCGCAAAACAACAATAATATGACGACAAAACCGGAACGAAGTATCATACGATGAAAAGATGAAATATTAGGTAGTTACAAAAGTTTATTTACAAGTTTAAATTTATTTAAAGTTTAATTCAATTTTTGTCTACACTTTGCAAAGAAGTCAAAATTCATTTGCGATTGTAATTAGTATGAACCAGTATTTCATCGATGTGACATTATTATACCTAATTGTGAATTTAGCGCAATCAAATTTTTACGTAATAAGAAAATAAATAATAATGTTATATATATCACCGTATGTAATATTTTTAAATGATTGTTTGATAGAAAAATTTGTGACAGAATAACAAAATAATGAAACGAATGTGTATGATAAAAATGAAAAAAAAGTGAGAGGGAAGAGGACATAGTAGCGCTGCAAATGTGTCATATATTTGCTTTCAATTTCATTTGCAATGCAACAAATTGTTTAATCTCTAAAAATTATCAACATGCATTTGAGGCGCCACATTATTTACGATAATTTCGAAATCGCACGATAAACTCGAGTACTGGAAAAATTCGAAAAATGTAGTCTTGTTAAAAAAAAAAAACAAAAAGAAAAAAAACAAGAAAAGCAATCAAAACAAAGGGATCGAAGTTAAAACGTTTTATTCGATTCATACTACTCGTATCATGCCTTAAAAAAAAAGAGAGAGAAAAAGAAATAAGCGATATGATCTTTGTCGACGAACGATATAAAAGTGAAACGAAAAACAAAAACAAAAAAGAGGAATACCTCTTAGCCGTTATTCTGAATTTCGTGAGTACAGCGTAGAGGCCAAAAAAGGAATACGTAGCTAACCCATAGAGACGTGTATATTACCTCCTGATTAAGTGTCAGTGCTAATTAAAGATAGTCTAAAGAAAAACTATGTTACGAGCTAGCGATTATTATGTAGTGTATAAACCTGTGGTAGTGAGATATTCGAATAAACTTGTTCTCTCGTGATAAATTGAAAGTTTATGCCTTCTATCTGTCATTTCTCGTGTTTATCTGAAAGCTCATACACCCTGACTATCCACATTGTGTTATTACTTCGAAACATTTGAGTATAACGAAACGCTTGTTATATCATTTCCAAAGACAAATTATTATTCCAATCAACACTCAACAAAATGGATCCTATAAACTACATCAGATTTCCAACTTCCTATCATATTACTTTATTTATTTTCATTTTTATTTTCTTTTATTTCAAAGAACTTTAACACTAAATATTTGCTATAATCTCGTATGAATTAAACATGCATACATATATATACACACACATACATATATATACATAAAATAGATATAAACCCTTTGGCTGTTGAAATCGTCGAGTTAAATTAATGTTCCACGATTTCTTGAGTGAGTAGTAATGCTCGACTTTTGTCAGACGTACGCCATCGGGAAACACTCGTACGTTCGTATAAACGTAAAATCTTTTGCGCATCGTTGAACAACATGAAAATGCGGAGAAGTTATAGCGATGTAGGAAAGAGGGAGCGGAAAAGGAGAGAAAAAAGGAAAAATGAAAAAGAGAGGAGCAGGAGGGAAAAGAGGAAGAATGAGGAGAATGAGTGGGAGAAATGGGGGTATGGGAAAAAGGAAGAAGAGAAGAGGAGAGAGAGGAAGGCAGAAAGAAGAAAGAACAGCAGAAGGGGTTGTTGGCAATCAATGCTTCTCATAAGGAAAGCTCGCCCTCTCTTATGGGATCAACCCTCTTGGAGAGTACACGGAGGGGTTGCAGAAAGCGAGAAAGGAAAGGACGAAGGTGGAAGAGAGAAAGAGCGAAAGAGGGAGAGTGGGAAGAAGGGAGAGGAAGAGACGAGGGGTTGTCCTCGGCTCGACCAACCAGAGACAAGACGCCATTGATCGGCACGTGGCTCCGGGTTGGTTCAACGAATTCCACGAGGGTGGAGAGGGTAGTAGATTTCTGCTCGGAGGTGCGCCATCGTGATAGTAGTGGAAGTGGTGGAGTGAAGAAAGTGGTGGTACTCTCGTGTTGGTGGGGAGACATAGACCCGTTCTGCACACTCCGTTACACTTACTGGTAAACCGTATTAATCAACGACATCATGGTTTATCCCCATTCTTCCCCACCACCGGCACCACTATCAACACACGACTATGTCGTTAAAGTAGTGTGTGAGTGCGACGCGCGCGCGCGTACTCGCGCACGCCTCGTCTACTTCCACCTCCACAAACTCCATCAGAGTCTATATCAAGACGCGTAGAGCTATGTAACCTCGTAGCACTCTGCAACACCGTGTATAATGTTAGACTGCGACGGGGAGGGAGGATGGGGAGATAAGGACGAGTAAGAAAGGCGACGTTAGAAAAGAAAAAAGATAGATAAAGAGAGAGAGAGAGAGAGAGAGAGAGAGACGAAGCTAAGGTGGAAACAAGGCGCCAAGTTACTTTGGGTGAAGCGATCGACGCTTAACGATGTCTCTCGATACTCCTTACGTGGCTACCTAGGATTCAACGAGCCATTACCACCCTTCTTCTTTTTCTTCTTTTCCTTCTTTTTCTTCTTCTTCTTTTTCTACTTCTTCTTACTCTTCTTATGTTAGCCACGGCAAGGGGAAAATTCAAATGTCGATCTGTACGTTTTTATCCTTTTCTACTTTCAAATCCTTACAATCTCTCTTAACCTTGCTATGGCTGTGTCGTTTAAGAAAATCTTTATATCTCTCAGAAAAAAAAGAGAGAAAAAGAATATATTTACGGTAGTCAATTCTTAAATATATATTAATAGTATACATTTTGTATTTATGTTTGGTAATAAAAAATATAAAACGAACAATAAATCTGAATTCTCTTATAAAGTAAATGCGATATTTCATGATAAAACAAACATTTGTTTCTCATTTAATCCCAATCCTCTCTCTCTCTCTCTCTCTCTCTCTCTCTCTCTCTCTCTCTCTATCTATCTTTCTATTCGTATGCAATTACACGATTGTGAATCAAGAGCGAAGATGAAATAGAGGGAGCTTTCACGATATCGCGAGATTCAACGGCAAGGAAGCGTAAAAGGTGGAAACCTCCTTGATGCCGGTAGACAGTGATTAATACCGCAACGTCGTCTGGCGTCTTCCGCTTCTCTTTTCCGCCCACTGCTGCCGCATGCGTCGGGATGTTCCAAGAGAGACAGAGAGAGAGAGAGAGAGAAAGAGGGAGAGAGTTTTCAGCTTGGCTCTCGTTCATTCCCCGAAGCGCCCTTCGTGGTAAAAGGTTTTACGAAATTCATTGTCAGGCAATTTGCATGTCAAAGCCAAACGGGAACACGCCCCGCGACTTACAACCTACACAAAAAGGGAGAGGAGACCGTCTGTATCGCTTCTTCGTTACACCTTTTTCTTTTTTTCTCTCTCTCTCTCTCTTTCTATCTTCTTCGTTTCCGACATGATGGAATTACAAGAAAAATGAGGCCACTTTGCGGGACAGACTGTGAAGTCCTCGTAAAATCCATAACATTATTGGAAGGACAATATAGATTCTATGTATTCGAGATAAATTTGATTTAATTTTCTTCAATTTTTGTTTGATTATAATCTTTATAAATCTGTGCTACGTTATACGGTTAATGTGTATAAACAAGATTTTTGATTGTAAAGAATAAGAGCTTTTATGAAAAAGGATTTGAAAGAGTATCTCTCAAAATATTGCCGTACTAACGATAATACGAAATACCTATCAGAAATAAAGAAGAGAGAAATCTCTTGGAAAGGATATCCGGTATAACGTCTTATAAAGGATAAAGCTTCACCGAGAAGACGAGAATGGAGAAAATTTATCGAGGTTGTCTGGCGAAACTAAGGGGATCAGAAACCGCAATGATTTTCAATTTTCGAATCCACTTTGATAGCCGTTCTAAGTTGTCCTTCATTTTCGATAAGAGATATTGGTAGTCGTATATTATGTTCTTGATATGTAATATCTACAGGGTGTGTGTATATATTCGAAAACTTGTTAATATTATTTCAAATCTATTAGAAAGAACTTTTTGCTAGCGGTTGAACGATTTTTCAATTGAAAACGATTGGACGCTCGGTGTAAAACATAAATGCACATATATATGCATTCACACATACATAAATGCATATGTAGATACATATATAGATAGATAGGTCATTTCGAGAAAGCAGAAACGGAACGGAATGAACCTGGTCTCGTTCGAAGGTAACGAGGTTTTCCTCGGTTGGTTAATTCACCGCGGATTGAATCGCGCGAAAACACGCGCACTAACGTAGTTTTCGACTAGTCTCCCTCTCTTCGACTCTCTCTCTCTCGCTCTCTTTCTCTTTATCACTCTCGATATGTATATATATATCTATATATATATATCTATATCTATATCTATATATCTATCTATCTATCTATATATATGTATCTCTTTTCCTCTCTCGCTTTATCAATCTGTCCACCGGAAGTACCGACTCTGTTCACCGTTGTTGGCTAAACTCTGCACTTTGATCGGCACGGATTAATGATGAAAAAAATGCAGCCCCTCTATTAACGCGATCACTCAACGTGGTATATATCAAACGACGTTTTTACGCAAAACTCCACTACTTCGTCCATGAAAAAGCATAGATAAAATTTTTCAACATACTCGCCGTGATATAAAAATCTTTGTTTTTACAACAATACCCGATCCTTTGTTTTTTTTTCTTTCCTTCTTTCTCTCTCTCTCTTTCTTTTTAGTACTTTTTTTTCTGAAAGAAAAAAATTGTTCGATATATTAAACAAAAGTCTGGCATAATAATATTTTCATTATGTCGAATCCTGAATATTACATTAAAAGATTTAAACTTTTTCAACTTAAAAACGATAACAACGTAGATTTCGCGAAGTGGGAAAAGCTTGCGAGTTAAAGGAAAAAAGAAAGAGAGAAAAAGAGAGAGAGAGAGAGAGAGAGAAAAAAAAGAAAAAAAAACACACGAAGGGGAAAGCGTTGAAAAAAAACGGATTAACACGAACTTACATTTGTATACGTTAAATGTACTCGGAAATTTTCTAATGGAATTTCATCTCCACAGATGGAACTCTTTCCATCAATATATAGTATAGCTTTATAAATAACATTTTATATTGCTCACATTACTAACATTTTATACGCATTCACTGCACTTTGATCTGCGGGCCATCCGATGGAAAAATGCAGCCTGTATAACTCTGTTATATCCTTCTATACGAACGTTTTTACGCAAAACGGTCAGAGAAAGCAGATGAAACAACGTAGATTACATATCAAACCAATACCAACTACGAGAATTTTTATACTAAACTTTCGGACATTTAAATTACATGATCAAACGAATAATAGTTCGAAACAACTCGACGAGATTTTACCGATTGTAATCAAATTTGTTACGTTTTTTTATTTTTTATCATTTCCAAGATATTCAAACAATTAACTATAACGCATTATTCATCATTGTTATATAAATGAAAATTAATGAGTTTATAAGATAATTAATGTGCAATATCATTATGATATTCCTCGTGATCATTTATCGTTCATACTGTGTCTACGGATACGTCACTTATATTTTAATTTAATAATTTCTTCATCATATAACTCGAGAAATATTTTTATCGGTTTGTCAATCGAGTTGTTGCTCCAAATGAACCAATGGACGGACGGACGTTCGGACGGACACGAGAAAACCGAAAAAAAGATATCGATGAAAATAAAGTAATAAACTACCCCAAAGCGACGGTCCAGAGACATCACTGGGAAGCAGCAGGCTGGCCTTTTAGAGTTTGCCACCACTTCCGCAAAATTTATTAAGTGATTTATTTGATGTTTGCCCTCGCAACCGTACATACCGGGTGGTTATACGCGATAACATTTTAATCCGAATATTTCTATCATTTAAATGAGTTAAAATCCTTACTAATAAAAATTACATGATAATCGATGTTTTATCCATTAAAAGCAAAAAAAAAATCAAAAGGACAATTGTA